AAAAAAAAAAAAAAAAAAGCTAGGCTGGATTCTTCTTAGAGACCAGCAAGGACAATCAGGTAACATTTAATTTGAGCCTGAATGGTGACGTGTAAGTTGGCGGTCTGACTGTATACATGAAGGAAGGAGCACAAAATGTGTCCTGGTCTGAGTATCTGAAGACAGAGCCAAGCCTTACTTTAAAATTAAATGTTGTTATTTTTATTTCAGTGAATTAAAATATGCTTTTTTATTGTTTCCCTTTTCTTATTCTCTGGTCTACTTCCTTTATTAAAATTGACACACGAAGATGTTACTTCTGGGTAATGAGTCAATAAAGACAGAAACTGAGCTAAATACAGATGCCTATATAATGACATTTATTATCATTGAAAAAAGAACAAAATACCCAAAAACTTTCAGTAAAAAACCTATACTCAGTATGTTTGGCACCAATTTTGTATTAAAATAAAATATTTTCATACAGTTTTTAAAAATAAAATGAAAAATAACATAAATAAGAACTATTGCTATTTAAAAAAAAAGTGTAGGTTCCTATTTAAGAATGTATTATCATAGACCAAAATCATTTTTTTATTATCATATAAAAATAAACTAATCACATTTATCTGTTGAACTCATTTTTCTGTCCATTCATAAGTGTGTGAGTTACATGGGCTTTGCATGAATGAGGTTTGCGTGGCCGGGTACTTAGTATACATGTGACTATAAGTCTGCATATGGGAGTGTGGATGATTATGTAAACAAATGAAATAATGAAATGTAATTAAGAAGAAATTTTAAAATAAGAATTCTAGGTTCATGGTGTATTCTTCCTAAGCTATTATTCCTGAGATCTCATATTTATCAAGATATTTGCTTTGTAGACTTAATAAAGAACTGGGGTAAAGCACTTCAGGAATTTACAAAATTGTTGGTCTAGCAAGTTAATATTTTCCCTATATAGATCTAAGATGTATGAATGTCTTATTGTTGATTCTATATAATTAAAATATGAATCCTATAGAAGACTTTGCCTTCCCCACAGTCTTTTGAAAAGGAGTCTTGACCTCTTTGTTCCTCAGGCTGTAGACCAGTGGATTCAGCAGGGGAATGACTATGGCATAGAACACAGATGCGATTTTGTCTGTGTCCATGGAATGGCTGGAGCTGGGCTGTAAGTATATGAAGATGACTGTCCCATAAAAGATGGAGATTGCAGTGAGGTGGGAAGCACAGGTGGAAAAGGCCTTATGGCACCCTTCAGATGAGCGCATCCTCAGGATGGTGATAAACATAAACAGGTAGGAGATCAAGACGACCAAGTTAGAAAAGAGGACATTGATGCCCACCAAAACAAATAAAACCATCTCATTGATGTAGTTATCTGAGCATGAGAGAGTCAGGAGAGGAGGAGTGTCACAGAAAAAGTGATCAACCACTTTGGACTTACAGAAAGAGAGACTGAATATGTCCCCAGTGTGGATGGAGGCCTCTCGGAAACCAAGGACATAGGGACCTATGACCAGATATGCACACCCCTTAGTTGTCATGTTAGTGGTGTAATGTAGTGCTTTACACACTGCTGCATGGCGATCACAGGCCAGTGATGCCAAGGGAAAAGTTTCTACGATGAGAAAGACCGCAAAAAAGAACATCTGAGAAGCACATGTATTGTAGGAAATGACCTTGTTTCCTGTAAGAAATCCAGCTATCACTGTGGGAGGGATAGCTGTGGAGTAATCAAAGTCTGTCAGAGAGAGATTACTGAGGAAGAGGTACATGGGAGTGTGGAGACGAGAGTCCAATAGGATCAACACGATCATCCACAAGTTTCCAACCAGAGTGATGAGGTAGATGAGATTGAACATTATAAAGAGTGGCATCTGCAGTTCTGGGTCATCAGTTATCCCCATAAGAATGAATTCAGTCCCCTCTGTACTGTTCTCCATCAGGGTCATTTGAGGATTATGTGAATTCCCTATAGCAATGAGAAAAGAGAATCTGGATAGTAACTGTGCTTAGAGCCATCATTATGTCCAATGTATAACTTATGTCAGTTTTCTCTGAATTTAACATGGGCATAACAACAAAATATAATTTTTAAATATTAGTAGAAACTTAAAGTGTTCTAGCTAAAAGGATTTTGGAGATAATATAACCCAAACTTCTATCTTCATAAATGATTGAACTAAAGTGGAGGGGAGGAAAGTGACATGCAAAATCACAGGGTTAGTAATGACTGGGATATGTTGGCCTCCCAATTCAGATTTTCAAAAACTGACACAGAATAGTCATGCCATAAAATATATTAGCATAAATTAATTCATATCATTTCAATTACCACTGTGCCATCATCTCCACTGCATCAAGCTCAGTATTAAATGCTAGCAAAAGATAGTTCAACATGTTATGTTCTAGCCTTTAATAATCTCACAAGAGAATAGAATACATGGAATGTTAATTACCACACAGTGAGATACTATAGAAATTCATGTACACGGAATAAAGATATCTAGAGAATAAATGTTAAAAGGGTGAGTCCAGACTAGGTACAGCTAGATGAAAATTCTAGCCCCACCATAAACTGGATGGCTGACTTTGGGTATTGCTCAATATCACTCAACCATCAGGTTTCGTTTGAACTCATTATCAAAATGGATTGATAATGCAAACTGGAATTGTAAGTTTTTACAAATTATGACTAGGACAGAGTTATTGGTCTAGGATGCATGGATTAGAGGGGTGGATGTTGTAACAGTGAGACTCCAGATAAATGTGAAATTTAACATCCTATATCCTCACTCATTCCAGTTGTTTCTGTCTCAATTTCATTCTGCTCTTATGTTCCCTTTATACCTTCCTCCATTTTTCACAAAATATTCCTCTTCTACCTAGAGAGTGGCCAGTCCAACTACACCAAGCAAGAATCCGCTTATTTTCCAAGTCATCTTGCATATTAACTAAGTTGTCTGAGCCTCAATTTCCCTGTCTCTAAAATAGAAACTACAATATTGCCTGACACTTAACAAACATTCATTAAATGTACATATTCCTTTTTTTTTTTTTTTTGAGGAAGATCAGCCCTGAGCTAACATCCATGCCAATCCTCCTCTTTTTACTGAGGAAGACCAGCCCAGAGCTAACATCTACTGCCAATCCTCCTCTTTTCTTTCCCTTTTTCTCCCCAAGACCCCAGTAGATAGTGATATGTCACAGTTGCACATGCTCCTAGTTGCTGTATGTGGGACGCCGCCTCAGCATGGCCAGACAAGTGGTGCATCAGTGTGCGCCCAGGATCCAAACTGGGGCTGCCAGTAGTGGAGCACGCGCATTTAACCACTAAGCCACGGGGCCAGCCCCATAAATGTACATATTCTTATGTTTGAAGATAGCGACAGGCTTTGTCTAGGTTAAACTGTAGATGATGTTAAGGAGGATTTCCATGTGAGAATGAAATCTGGGATCCCATGATTTCACCCATTACATTACCATTTGCATTAATCTCATTAATCTATGCAAGATATGATGTTTGCTTGGACCAAGGTTGTAGTGAGAGAGGTAATAAGCAACTTTCCAATTCTGGATATATTTCAAAAGTAGAGTTGGACGGGTTTCCTGATATATTGAAAATGGGGCATTAGAGAAAGAGGGAACAATGATTTTTCCATTTTTTTTTGTATAGTGATACAAGGAATGGTGTAGAAGAAGCAGATGTTTGGGAAAGAACAAGAAACCTTGATGATTAGTCATGCTGAGTTTGAGAATCCTTTTGGCCATTCAAGTAAAAGAGTTTCATAAACAATTGGACTGGCTGCATCAGATTATATTAATTTGAACTATATTGGCAATTTCTAATGGTTCAACCTGCACATATCATATTCAATCCACAAGACTAAATAACACCACCATAGGGAAATAGTTTAGAGAAAACAAAAATCAGAGCATTATACTGTTACAAAGTCAAGAACATGAGGCAATGCAGTGTTAAGAGGAAAGTGGGAGAGAAAATTACCACCACTTGCGATGGCTGCAAGGGAAGCACTCTCCCAGGACACAGATTTCAGTTAGACCAAATAGGTAAAGGGAACTTTCAGAGAAGAGGTTAAGTCTATATTGAGTTATATTGATGACTGACTATAAATTCCAGATGGCACAGTGGAATGATCTCAGGAGCTGGGCAGGAGCAGAAGCTGGGGTCAGAAAAAGGGAAATAAAAAGGACTTTACTTAAGTAATGTCCATAATTAGAAATATTAATAGAGGTTGAGGGTTGATCTGAGATTCTCAGCTTCACAGTGAGTGACAGAGCTATAAATAGATTAATGAGATTTGTCCCAAGGTTTCCAGGTGGACAGTGATAACCAGGCTATGATGTTGGGGTGGGAAAGGGAGGGTGAAGGTCTTGATAGAAGCATGACGAGTTCTCTGCTGCCTCTTTACTTATTGGTGGTGTGGAAGCCACTGGAGAGGCACTACGATCCAGATAAGGGCACCCACTTGGTTCCTCATCAAACTACTTATCTCAGGGGCCAGCCCCGTGCCTTGGCGGTTGAGTGCCTGTGCTCTGCTACTGGTGGTCTGGGTTTGGATCTCGGGCGCGCACCGACGCACCGCTTGTCCGGCCATGCTGAGGCGGTGTCCCACATGCAGCAACTGGAAGGATGTGCAGCTATGATATACAGCTATCTACTGGGGCTTTGGAGGAAAAAAAACTAATTATCTCAATCAATACACATGTATAGATGCCCCTAAATCTGGAAAAACCAATGTATTGAAAAGCATTTCGTTTTTCTTTTACCATCTTTCTTCTCAACAAAGTAAAGGAGGGTGTCTTAATCCAACATTTTGCTAGGTGAAACAAAAAAACTAGTTTTAGGTATGCTGTTGTGATCGAATTAATTTACTGATAAGAATAAAAATTACAAAAGTTCTTTGAGGCATTTATGGACCTCTTATCAATCTTTCTTCCAAGATGGGGAACTTTTTATGGATCAGACTGCCACATACTTGGTGCTTAAGACATAATTAAAAAGTGCAATCTTCTTGACAAGATTCCCTGTACCCCCAATACAAATTTCATTTATTCTTCAAAGAATAACGCAAGTTTTAAAGCTTCTATGAAGTCTTCAGCAACTTCTCCTCTTTAGACACTGGCTTGCCCTTGTAATCTGTGGAAAACCATTTATCACTGTTACTTGTAATAATTTGTTATCTTAATTTAAGCTTTTGTCTTCTCATATAGATGATCAATACTGTATAAGTAGACATATGAACTTAAATAATGACTTAACCTATGACTGCTAGGATTTATTGAGCACTTGCTCTTTTCAGGGCACCACATGCATGCTATACCTCCATTAATTTATCACTCAACCATGTGATATATATTCCCATTTCACATATGGAGAAACTGAAGCTTGCTGACAATGAGTTACACACTAAAGACCACAAAGCTAGCAAGTAGCAGAGCTGGAATTTGAAGGCATGTCATTTTGAATCAGAGCCTGATTTCTTGATCACTAAGAAATACTCCTTTAATATTTCACATATAATCCAAACAATCTACCCAGCTCTGGACACACAAAAAGTAACACATTATACTGTCTTATTCATGAGTGACTGATTTATTGAATCCATCATTCAGAACCAATGTAGGGAATTAAAAAGCATGGTCTTGGGAATCAAATATACTTATTCACTAGTCTGAATTTGGGCAAATAATGTATCTTTCTGACTCCCTGCCAAATGACAAGAACTATATCCACAAATGTTTACAATTGACTTGCTCTCTTCTCCCTCCAAAAAAAATATCCTGCTACAGTTAAAAGGAACATAATTTTTTAGTAACACAAATCAATAAGCCATACAAAGTGCTGGAATCTGTTTATTAATTCATCCAACACTCATTCACCCTTCAAGTACTAAGTATTTATGGTATACCAGGTTGTGTGCTAATTATAAGGCCTACAATGATATACAGAACATATTCCCTGACCTCAAGATGTGTATGGACCAAGATAGACATATAAACTGATGATTATTATACAATATTCTTATCCTCTATTTCTAAGGAGAGAACATTGCTTTAGTCTCTCAGGTCAGTCTGATGGGAAGATGATCTCATTTAAACTATAGTCCACCAGTCAGTTCATCTAATCACCCAGTTAATCAATCTGGGTGCCCAATGCCAGCAAATCTTCAGAATTATAACTAGAATCCAGATCTTCATTCTCATAAATTGTTCTGTTTTGTGTGATTTTTATACCTCTTCTTTCAGTGCATTTTTATAATTGGTTTATTAGTCTGGTTCCCCCTCATTTATTCCTCTCCATTTCTTCTCTTTTTTATTAATGTTGTTATGTGCTGTCCAGTTTATAATAAATTTTCAAATTGAAATCCTATTTGATACTCTCAAAAACACCGGGATTAGCCAAAATAGCTAATATTACCACACTCCAAAAGAGAAAACTAAAATTGAGACAGGTTTAACAACGTGTCCAAGTTATACAAGCTCATACGTGGCAAAGCAGAGACTCAAGGCCTTCTTGTTCCTTTAATTTTCACCACATGATAAATACATATGTTCCCCAGGAATCTCCATGGAGACACATAAAAATGCTCAAAACCTTCAATATTGACTTCTGAATAAACCAAGGGATAAATGGCTGCCTTGGCGTATTTTCCTTGTTACATCTGTCCCTGCAAATCAATACAGACTGCAGATTGGATCTAGAGACTTCCCTTGCTCCCTGAACAGTGCAACAGGCAAATCTAGCAAATTCACATATGAGTCTCAAATCAGAAATTCAATCCAAAAAAAAACACCATATTGAGATATTTTCTTTAGTGTTTGGTCAAAAGCGTAAAAGTTCTCCAGAGAAAAGAGGTATTGAGAAAAAAAAATACTTTTTTGCCTCGGAAGTAGCTGACATGAATTCTATTGTTAGATC